ATTTTAGATCATTCGCCTCTTCTGGAAGACGTTGTCGAACAACGGGATCTCGACAAGGGGCAGGAGCCTTATTTTGTGACGAGCCTCACAGCGCTGTCCGTAGATATTTGTGGTGTTTCGTACGGAGAACCATTGTGAGGAGGTAAACCCACTACATCCTCGAGCGCTGCGCTGATCGTCCTCAACCGCTTATTCGGAGGGCCGAAGCCTACCTTATTCACGGTAAGCCGTGAAATGATGGTCGTTCCCCTATCCGCGACCTCGGGACGCGCTCGGCAACATACAGCTCTGCTCTCTGTGCATTTAAAGCTTTTGTGGTGCTGCACTTGCATTGGTTTGCAGAACACATCAATATGAAGAAAGATACCATTTTGCCACATTTTCGCTTCGCTGTCCAGTACGACTTCTGTCCTAGATTGCCCTGGTTGTACTTCTCTGATTCTTCCGAGCGCAGTCCTACTCGTATATTCTTTCTCTGTTTTCCTTCTTCTCATGATCAAAATAACACAGGGACAGTTCGCGTTTTCCGGAATTGGATTTCGTGTCGATCATGTGATCATCAATATGACACACGTGGATTGCAAACCACGTACATCTTCGGCACAGTCCTCGGCCCAGCGTCGGGGTGTCGGACTTGAATCAGATGAGGCCAGGGTGGGAAGTTTTGCCGATGACAATCCTTTTTGCACAGAATCAATCGACGTGACAAACATGCTGAATTTATTCTCCTACAACAACTATGATGCATTCTGTGCGGCCTACGTGTTCACTTATCGAGACTTTTCTGGTGGCACACTTGGCCTGGCCTGGGTCGGTTCGCTTAGTGGACCGGGCGGCGTTTGTTCGAAGTACCGTCTGTTATCTGAGGGCTCACAACATGTGCATAAAAGTTTGAATACCGGGCTCGTGACTCTGGTGAACTTCGGACGTGCTGTGAGTTGATATCATGTAGCGGTGTAATGAATGTGTTCTTACTTCATCTCAGGTACGAATCCCCCGTAGTTCACTCCGTATGTTTGCATGGTGCGCTTTTTCACTCCATTGAGACTTGGTCTTTGACTTCACTCTCATTTGGGAGTGGTGAATTCGATTCCTGCACTTAACATGAGTTATTGTTATTGTTGTGGCGCTGGCACCATGCTTGTCTACAAGTCGG